GGGGAAGTAGAGAGGCATGCTTAAAAAGAAGTTTTGTTTCACTCTGGATTCTGCTGAAAAGAGGAAACAGTTCCAATTACCATCTCTTTGCTGGTGATGACAAATGCAAAAGAATGCAGAGTTTTGAGGAGGATCTAATAGTGTTTCTGGCAAATGAGGCGTGAAAGTTATTGTCAAAAAATTGGATGCCCAACATGGTTGCTGGCACTTCATCTTCCCGGGGGAGACAACTCCTAAGTGTTTAAGGGGACTGGGGGCTGTGGGCTGTGAGGAGAGTTCATGAAGGCAACATCAGATGATCTGATAAGCCTCAGGAGAAGAGGTAATGGTCCAAGCAAAATGGTGAAAGACAACTTTCTGAGTGCTGAAGCTGCCAAAGAAGTAAGGTTAGGATACTGGACATCAATAAAAGCACATCTCTAACACCTTTGCCTGTCACTAAGATTGTAAACCTTGCATTAAGAGAGGAGCATTCTGCTTCAGCAATGGACCAGAGCAACTGTTGCAGGCATGTGGTCAGACCCAATGGTCAATAGTAATTTCATGGGGTTGGAAGGGACTGTGGAGGCAGGAGTCCTTATACCATTGCGGACAAATTAATATCCAATATTTACTTGAAAATCTACAGCAATGGAGCACCCACAACTCTGGGAGGCAAGTAAGGGGGTGAACTTTGGCAGGATGCTCTTCTTTAAGGTTGGGGTATCATATATCTTGAAAGGCTTGGCTCAGGAAAGTTATCCTTGATTATGTCACTATATCAATGTCACTAAAACATGAGACAGCATCTTTAAGAGTCACAGAGGAAAAGGATTTGTGGCTGCTTCAGTCCTAAGACATGAGTAGGAAATCAGAGTTGCAACTGAGTTTGCCCTGCAGACACTCACAAATAAATGAATATAGCCTGCAGAAGTGTGAAGACCCTGACCTGTGCAGTTGGCTAAAAGAAAAGAGACCACAAAAATCCAAAAAGAGCATTAGAATACAAAGAAGGACAAGAAAGCAAGATGGTTTATATCTATTTTTCCCACTAGTGATAATTTAATTCATTGTGTGCTGGAGGATAAGCAAAAGGTTGTGGGCAGTAAGTCTGTGAGACTGAGAAGTGAAGATGTGTTGTTGGAGTGATATACAAACTGTCAGAAGGTATTCAAAACAGGCCTCTGTGTTAAAAAAGATTGCTCAGATGACGGGGAGGCAAAGTAATGTGCTCTTACTTCAGACGAATCCTCAGATTTGAAAGGGATCTTGACAAGCTAGATTAAACATGGAAAAGATTTGAATTTGGGAAATGTTTTTGAATGTTCACATCAGTAACATATTCCTTCCAGGAGATTCAACATCAAATTGAGCTGATTTGGTTAGTAAGAAATGAAATGAAAACATTTCATCTCATTGATATTAGGTAGGGGAAATCAAGAGAACACGAGGCTTACAGAGAGTATCGGTGGCTAATTATATGGAAGAAATATTTGCACAAGGTCCATCCCAAGATGGCTGTATGGAGATCTGCCCGATCTGTGAATTAAAAGATGCCACTGTTAAATTAACTACACTTATCAGGCTATCAGTGGGAATATTTCCATCTTGCAGATGTGACTATTTTGTACCAGAGTGGAACTTCTGTACTTGTTAGTGCAGATTTTTGAACAGACAATGTTAGATGATAGAAGGCACTGTTCAGAATGTGTGGAATACACATAGAGATGAGTTTTTAAAAAGAGGCAATGCTGTTATTAGTAGGAAGATGGGAGACACTAATTTAAATAGTTCCAATCCTGTTGGCTAGGAATGTATTTGCAAGCTATAAAATTAATCTAACATTAATCACTTTGAGAAATTACAGATTTGGCCCACAGACTGCCAGCTGACAACTTTTTAAAAGACATTTTGCAAAACCTTAATAATAAAAAGAAAAGCATTATGGAAACATTAGCATACTGACTCAGTTCTGAAAGATATTTTCTCCAGTCGATCTGTCCATTAATATGGAAGAATGCAGGAGTTGTCAGAATTTCAAAGAATTTCATCTAAGGACTATAACATAAGAAATATAGATGGGTAACAAACAGCATGGTGCAATTCTTTTCCAAGTGCATCATTTCTACATTCATTTGTATTAGTCACCATAAGTAAGCTAAAGAAATGTCTCTATTTTCCTTCCAGTTTCCTTCCTTCCTTTCCCTCCTTCCTTTGTTCTTTTCCTCCTTTCCTTCCTTTTTTCCTTTCTTCCTTCCTTCCCTCCTTCCACCTTCTAGGAACACAATAAGCAAAACAGTAAATATGGTCTCCAGCATCAAGAACAGGTGGTGCTAATGACTGCTAAAGCATCCCTGAAGAGCATCATAAATTATGGAATAGTTTTGATATGAAGAAGGAAGAGCCAATGCAGTCTTGGGTTAGAGGAAAAACATGGGAGAAGAATTATTTCAAAAGCAGCAGCAACAAAAAAATCATTGAGTGAACTGGAACGCCTTGCAAATTGATAGCAATAGCACTTAGACTTATATACTACTTCACAGTGCTTTACAGCCCTCTTTAAGTGGTTTACAAAGTCAGCACATTTGCCCCAAAATCTGTGTCCTCATTTTACTGACCTCAGAAGGACGGAAAGGTGAGTCAACCTTGAACTAGTCAGCATCAAACTGCTGACAGTGGGCAGTGTTAACCTACAATACCACATTCTAACCATTGTGCCATCATGGCTCTTGATGCTCTACCTTTCTCCACCTTTTGTGGAGGATTTAAGATAACTGCTTGGGACCAGAGAATTCTATCAACTTGTCTCTAGGATGGATAGATAGATGGATGGATGGCTATAGATACAGATACAGATATAGATTCATTCATTTCCTACACACAGTTAAATAAATTCATCATTTTCTTTGCAAATTTATTAGTCACCATACTCCTGTTTATAATACGGGACTTTCATCTGTTCCTACTGGTCTATTGCAAACTACTAACTGGGAGATTTTAAATCTGGTAATGACTTGAGCCTCTCAACCACAATTAGACTGATGGTTAAAGTATATAGCAAAGAAGAATTCACATGAGGCCCACCTTTGTGGTTAGACTGCAATAATTAGGAATTACAATAAGGGCAATCATGCCAGGCAACAAAACAGTCTCCATCAACAGGTTGTAACTAATTTGGTGATGCAACTCAGTTCTTACAAGAGCCTCCAACTAAGGTTGCTTCCTGCTCTGATCAATATGAATGACTGGTTCTGTTAAATACAGATGGTCATTCTTTCCCCTCAAGTAAAACAAGCTGAGTCTACTAAGAACAATGGACTGAGGTTTGCATACATTTTGATCAGCATCAGAAAACAGAAGATGGGATCAACAATGTTCCTTATTAAATTTTGGCAAGCCTGATTAGAAAAACAAGGTTTGGTTTTACCCTTAAGAATGTTGAACCTGCACATCATGAGATTTTAGATGAAATCTGGTTTCAGTTCTTCATTATCATTTTGAAATTGCTAATCATGTTCTCTTATATAATATGTATACAATACAATACGGTAAGTATAGTATAGTATAATATCATATAATTATATGTATAAAATATCATTCCCTTTTCCTATATCTTTCCCATTCATCATTAGATAAACATGTTTGTTATACGATGGTTATTTTTGTTGATTTTTTTGTTTAAATGTATTTTTGCTGTTGCTTGTTGTGGTGGTTATGATTGTTGTTTTTCTGATACGCCACTCAGAGCTGGTTCGGAATGTAACCGCAAAGCAATTTTCATAATCAGATACAAACCTCCAATAACTTGCACAGCTGGATGGAAAATAGCTCAACAAAGCAGCCGAAAATGATATGGCTAATGACCCTGGATGTTCATCTCAGACTAAATACCAGTGCACACACCATAGACAAACCATGACCCCCATAACACACCGAAAGGCAGACAACCACCATCAAAACTACATTTGTAAAACAAGCTGAAAAAGGAAAACAAAACTCCAAATCAAACTGCTCAAGCTAGAAGCAAGTAGGTTCCTGAACTCAAATGGATGGCCAACATGTCCAGCTGTCCACTCTCCATTGTTAGAACACAGTAAGCCCCCAAAAGAAAAAGCTAAATTATAGCACAGATGATACTAGTCAGTTAGAATTTTTTGCAAAAGTAGAAACAGAATTTAAAACCACAGTATTTGCCACAGAGACTTGTGGAATCATAAGGCAGACAATCCAGAAGATCAGAAGAACACCAAACCAGAAGCAATTCAGAGCAGAACATCCTCCCCAAAAAATTCAAAGCAGAACATCCCCCCCAAAAAAACCTAAAGAAGACCAAACCCTCACCATCCTCCCTGCAGGCAAAGGATGACCCATAGTTATCCAGAGCCCAATACATACAAAAAGCCAAAGAACTATTGGAGGCATAGAAATTGTCATCCTAGTAAACATCAAAGCAATACAGAAATGAGACAACCTGATCAAAAGAATCTTTCACAACCCAATCAAGAAAGTCAAATCACGAAACGAGAACGATGATGGAGGCAAAGCAGTGGGCGTGTCCTCTCACACTTCTATGGCTGGCCAAAAATACACAAACTGACACACATCTTCATCCAATTGTATTATTACCAGGAACCCCAAAATAGAATAAAGAACTTAC